GTCAAACAGTTCGCTCTTCATAAGATGGCCGACGCATTCCGGAAATTCAAGCAAAATCTAGCCCATGACTTTGTCAAGCAGAACAAGACTCCGGATTTCAAAGGACAATATGAGAAACTGAAACATGATTGGCCAGAATTTGTGAAGCAAAAGAAATCGGAGCAGTTCATTCAAATATCGAAAAAAAATAAGGAAAATGCGGCTAAGAAGGAGTACAATCATGTTATGGGGCCAGGAGGGTATCGCATTTGGGTGCCTAGGTTGGAGAAGATGGAGAACGAGCTGAGGGCGCGAGGAATCCGTCCAGGTACGGAGGGATGGGACCCAAGGGCCAAAAGCTGGTGGTACGGGCATGGGGGAACGCTGAACCCGGAGACAGGGGAGTGTGTTTACCGGGGCAAATTAATTAAACCCACCCAAGTCCTTATTAACGCAATGAGGGATGCTCAACAGGGGAAGATCAAGTTCAACAGAGAGAACGACGCGCTGACAAAAGCCCTCGGGAATCCTGAACACGGAGGACGTGTACGAGGCATGGGGCACATTCCGTGGAAAATAGGGTTCCCCCAGAACGATGACCCGTACGGTTACAGAAGCCGTAAGAGAAAGATGGATCGGGAAGCAGATGTTGTGGCGCGGTTGGCATCGGAAATGGATGTGATGAAGAAAACCATGAGTGTACTAGTAGCCGAAAGAGATGCAGCTCGGGTGCAGCATGAAGATCATCCAGCGGATCTCGGAAGCCAGCAGCGGAGAAGCAGCGTGGCTTCCACGGAGGCCCCACCGGCTGGTGCAGATGCACCGACGATCGAAATTACTGCACCGGAGCCTCTGGTGGTCGAAATTACTGCACCAGAGCCTCTGGTGGTCGAAATTACTGCACCGGAGCCTCCTCGCTACCCCGTGGACGATATAAAGGAGATGAAAGAATGTCATCTGTATTATCCTATCGGGAACATGTCCATGAAGGTAGCCATCGGCAGTGCTTTACCATGTTTACCTGGAGCACTCCACCACAACAACCCCATTCAAGATGGCTATGCTCGTGTCACGGTGGAGGACATAGTCCAAGGGTTTGAGGACCTGGAGATTGACATTGCTACACCTGAAGGGGAGAAAAGACTTGGAGATGTCAAGCGCCATTTCATTCTATGGCAAAAGAAGTTTATCAAGTTTCCAGGCGAGGCGCCAAGGACAACAAGTCCACCCCCCTACGGTGGTGGTGGTGGTGGTGGCGGTGGTGGTGGTGGTGGTGGTGGTGGCGGTTCACCTACACCTTCGTCACGTCAGCCGACGCCGCCCCCCAGTCCACAACGTCCGGCGGGTGATCAGCCGCCGCCCCCCAGTCCTCGTCCGGCGGGTGATCAGACGCCGCCCCCCAATCCACCTCCGGCAAAGAAGCAGAAGCAGTCCTGGATTATTAACCCGGACCCTTATGTACCTAAGACCACAAAGGTACCGGAGCCATCACTGAAGCCTCTCCCCACAAGGTCTTGGGAACGTAGTGCCGAGGAAGTCGACGCGGCCGCGGCTGCTGATTTGGAGAAATGGAAGGCGGACTGCAAGAAGAAAACAGAGCCCGAGCCCAAGCCAGTATTTTCTGATGAGCAAAAGAAGTGGGCTAAGTCATTTTTGACCACACCGTCCCAAGCCGCGAAGAATCTGCCTAACGACTATGCACGTGAACTTCGCAGGCAGGCACTCATGTTCAAGGAGAACAAAGAGCGGGAGAAGGCCGAAAGTAAAAAAAGCGGGAAACAAGTTGCCCAGCTCGGGGAACAAAGTAAACAATCGATTGCCCCGCTTATAGTGGAAGCCTTCTGTCCGGATGCCCCCGAGATCATACAAGCTGCGGCAGCACAGGGATTGACTGTAACGAGTGCCAGAGAACAAGCGGCCAACTTATGTATTACTCTTCGTGAACTGTTAGGCCTTGATGAGGCGCCAGTGAAGGAGGTAGTAATTACATATGTCAAGAATGGGCCTCTCGTCGAGCCTGCGCAGGAAAAGGATCTACCTCCACAAATGAAAGGTCTGCTGATATGGTACAAGGGTTACATAAAAAATAAAAACGCCAAAGAATATATTTATGCGGAAGTTAGACATGAGCATCACTTCAAACATTACTATGTACAAATTGAACAGAGTGAATTGTTCCAGCTTTTCAATCTGCGCGAGCTCGATAAATCTATCATCAGTTGCTACGTTCTGTAAGTGATTTATTAATTTCTACCCCATCTCGTTCATATTGCCTGCACTATATATATGTCCTAACTATATTGTTGTGTCCGCTATTATACATGCAGAATGAAGATTAAGGAATGCAGAGTAAGGAACATCCATGATGTTGGGTTCATTGACCCACACATCGTTAATGGACATGTGTTGGAGCGTCACCCCGCCGACGTGGAGGCAGACCTGTGGCAGTTTCTTACAAAGCAGGAACTCAAAAGTGATATTCTATTTCCTTACCATTTTGGGTGAGTGTTTCTGTCTTGAGCACATTCTCTTTTGTTTACTCCATGCATGGTATGTGGCCGGCTAATCGATGAGTTATGCATGACGTACTGTACATGTATCGTGTCCGCAGGTTCCACTGGATTCTGCTAGTAATTAAAGTTAACACCTCAGAATGTCTCGTCCATGACTCTGTGAATATGGATCCAAAGCTTTGGGGCGGCATGAGAAGAATGCTGCAGAAGTAATTATTTTCATTCATTTGCGCTCTATATCGATCGGCCTATTTCGTTCATTTCCTAATATCAAGTAACTAATAACTCTCTTGTTCATTTAATTTTCTTTGCCTCGTAGGGTTTGGAGACGGTTCGTAGATACAAAGGTCGGTGAATTCAAAAAAGAGCTAGAATTCAAAAGTTCAGTGGCTAAGAATGCTGGGGATATTCAGCCACCGGAGACCAATCTATGTGGATACTATGTCTGTGAGATGATCCGGAGATACACCTCTGAGCGGGTTCCGAGTGATACCAATGCTCAGAGGAATAACCTCCGGTGGATGCTTAGTCCAGAAGCTCGCTTCCGACCACTTCAAGAGGAACTAGCTGGATGGTTCAGCAGGGAAGTCCTCCATCCCAAAGGAGAACACTATTACGAGGACGTAGAACTTTATATGCATTAAATCATGTATGGAAACTTGTTCAAAATTGTATATGGTCATCCGATGATATTGAATATATATTGTATATTCCTCTTGAATTCTTTTTGGTTCTAATTTCAAATTTATTTGAAATTGTACATTCATATGCATGTATGTAGTATCGTAGAATATATGAAACTCCTTCAAAATTAAAATAAAGCACAAAAGAAATAAAACAATACAAATTAAACAGAAAACAGGTTTAGGGGGGGGGGGGCTAAAACCCTAAACCTGTGGCGGCCTTTAGTCGCGGTTGGCCAGAAGAACCGCGACTAAAGGTCCTCCGCCCCGACGGCCGCCTGGCGCCCACGTGGACGGGCCGTTAGTCGCGGTTCTTAAGCAGCCGCGACTAAAGGTGGGGGGCTTTAGTCGCGCTTATTTGGTCGCGGTTGCGCAACCGCGACTAATGGCAGTTGCGAACCGCGACCATAGGCCTTTTTTCCACCAGTGTCTGTCATAAACATGATTAAAATTAACTAAAATGGTCATCAACGCTACATAGTAGTTTTTTGAAACAACAAACCAAAATAGTGGTAGCATTTTGAGAAATTAAAAAACAATGGTAGTTTTCTGTAACCCTATCCCGTGTTGTGATAGTTTTTTATTATATACTCGCTCTTTTAGTGGAACAACAAACCTCACATTTGTTTGGCCATGGGATTATGATTACTTAGCTAAGAATGAGAGTCAAACTTTTATGTGTCAAACATCATCTTTTGGCGAGGTATCATATATTATAGACGACAATTTGGTTATCACAGTGTCATTTGAGAGATTAGAGGAAACTGACCCGCCCTGTTCGGGATCCACATCCCCAGCTCCATGCTCCCAACGTCTATCTATCGCCCGCTTTTCGATTCATTCAGTTGTTTTCACCCCAACGTGGCGACACCCCGACTGCCCCGATTCCCAAAGTCATCACGCCATCACCAATATGCACCATAATCTGCACGCTATCACAGAAATCTGAGTATGTTTCAGCTGTGTTAGTAGTTTATTAGTTATATGATTCCTTTTATATGTATATATAGGGCCATTTTGGTATTTCTCCCCGGGACTCTAAAGTTCTCGAGTCGGCCGTTAACTGACACATGTTAAGAGCATATGTCGAATGCAGGCGCTAGGATGGATATCCTGCTCGATTGGCAGTTGGGCAATTGATTCCTGGCCGATTCCCGGCGCCGGGTGTGGCATCGGTGCAATAAATAGCATTGAGCGCCTGGGCCTTTCTTGCCATGCGAGATGAAGTGATTGAGATTATTAGCACCTGTCCCACAGCGTCTAGCATTACAGCAGACCAGCCGCTTGAATGTGTTCTTATATTTTACATTTTTTGAATTTTCCTAAGCACCTGTATAAGAGTCTTGCATTGAAGATGCCCTAAGAGGAAACGTGGGTGGCGAATCAACGGTTTGATTGTTAGAGGGACTGTGGTATCCCCAGCCCAACAGGGTTTAAGTCATGTTTCTCATATTATTTCCGGATTAATTTCAGGATTTTCGATGATGCGCTTTCAGTGGGAGGAGACGTCCCCTCCGACGACGAGACGCCTACGGTGACTTCGTAAATCTCAAGATGATATGTCGGCTCAGTCTTTTGAAGGTGCTCATAAAGGTAGGGTCAGTGTATGCGCGTATGTATGAGCGTTTGCGTCTATACCGTGTTAAAACAAAAGGAAACATGCTAAAGAAGGTGTAGGCCCCATCAGTGAAAAAAGGTATCGTACAGTATCCATCACCCTAGAAATCAGCCAACCGATTTCTTTTCTCCTACAAAATCTCGCTGGAAATTGCAATCCCGTGGAAGGTCGAAAGTATTCAGATTCATCCTACCCAGCGGCAAGAAGATGAGGACACCGTCGCAGTGTGGCCTCGCCGGTGGCTGCACGCATCTCCCCGGACCAGAGGGGATAACGACGCAAGCAAGGCGGCGGCGCCGGTGCCTAGCAGACACCGGATCTGGCCGCCCCGGGAAGCGAAATCCCGACGGCGCGCGTGCGCGTGCCACCGGCGATCCAGAAGCAACCGAATGGTACGACCGTACGAACGTCCGGTGCCGTCCTCCTTCCTTCTTTCCTCTTGTCCAGCTATGATCTCACTCCGGCATGGCCTGCGTGGCAGGAGGGACTGGGCCAGCCTGACATCGGTGTTCGTCGAGGACATTGCCGGCCGGCTGCTCTCCGTCGACGTGTCCGAGTACCTGCGCTTCAGGGCCGTGTGCGCGCCCTGCCTCGAGCTGACGGACGACCCTCGCACGGGCGGCGTCCTAGACGGCTGGTTCCGGCCCCGCAACTGGATCCCTCTACGCAAGCAGGCGCCGACCCCAGGCGTCTCCGCCTCAGGAACACAATTACACAACCACCAACGCCCGCGTCGGGCTGGACCTCCCAGTGTTGGCAGCCAGCCACCTCCTCAGTGTCCTCGACGGCCTCCTCGTCCTCTCCGACAAGGGCACAAGCGCCGTCCGCCTCCTCCACCCGCTCACCGGCGCGCTAGCCGAGTTCCCCGTCATCGCCAACGTGCGGGACCGGGGCGGCGCCCGGGTCGCCATGGACGTGTTCAGGTCCCGGTTCTCCGGCCTCGGCCCCGAGCCGCCGAATGGATACGACATCGACTACCCCGCCTTCAACACGGTGTTCACCAGCGCCGGCGTAGACGAGTCCACCTCGCCGCCGACCCTCCAGCTCCCGGTGAGAGACGAGGCGTGGCTGGTCCTACTCGCCAAGCCTGGTGATGCGCACTGGGAGCCCCTGTACCCACCCCACGAGTTGATGAACAACGAATTGGTCATGTTCAGTTACACTTACATTTGTGTCAGAGGATCACCATTTTGTACCTCGACCACGAAACGAAAAGAAAGTATTTTCGTGCCCGGGCAAGACTGCGAGGAGTCATGCGTCTGCCTAATTTGAAGTGTGAGAGAATGATTTCTATCTCCCGTGCCTAAAAAATAAACCTAATTGATTGTGGTGCTCATGAGTTTTATTGTTTCTTGTCATACTTGTCACATGCTTTCGTTCCCTTGTTTAATTTTGTGTGTGTTCGGATCTATATATACACTCTCATATTTCACCATGGATGTTTGCGTTAGTCAGATATTAGAGGAAACTCTATCTATACAACATTTTCAATGTCATGACACTAGTTCAGTGAGCAAGCTCTATCTACGAAGCACCATCTTCAGTGAGCAAGCTCTATCTATACAACATTTTCAATGTCATGTGACGCTAGTTCAGATATTAGAGGAAACTGACCACCTTGTATACTCTATTTGGGCTCATGATTTCAGGCTTTAAACAGGTTTTCAAAACCTTACAGTGCAAGGGATTCTTCTCCATTTAATTTGTCTAAGAATGGTTCTCAAATATATTCTAGTGCAAAGTGCTAGAGTAAACAAATTGGCTTTCGTTTCAAAAACAGAGTGCCTCTGAGCTGTCAACATGCACATTCTTTAGTTCATGGGAGAATTGTACATGAAACTTACATTGTTCAACACATATGTCAATTCTAAGATGTTACACAGGACAAACGGCCGTGACAAAACAATCAAACCTTTTGTTCAAAGAGGAGCAAAAAACTACCATTGTTGAATCATTTTTAGAAGATGAACAAATTTTCAATTAAATAAGGCAATTAAACTCCACACCTCTGATTTTTGCGCTTCGACCATTGCTATGGCATATTAAGATGATGAAACCCATCACTTCTGCAAGTAACATATTTTCTTAATATGCCATGAAAACTTAATATATTACTACTATAGTGGTATAGCCATTCGATAGAAAATATGTGTTAATTTCTGTTTATGTAGCTTATTTGTGCCTCTAAGGGCCAAGCTATGCAACCACGGATGCGAGCTAGGATTCGAGAGTCACTCATCTGCCTTATTTTGAAGTGCGGGAGGACCGAGTCATATGTTCCGCACCTTAAATAAACCTAACTATTCGTAGTCCTCAAGGGATAAATTGTTTTAGCTCTATTTATCTAGTGCGCTAGAGCCGCTGCATATGGTTAACTTGTAATCAATGATTCATTTATATCACCGGCGTGATTATTAACAATATGCTCATGAGTTGTGTAATACATTTTTTTAATTTCATGAGTTTGTAACCCGATGTCATACTTTCCACTTGTTTTTTTTTCTCACTAAGTTTCTTTAGCATTGGGGTCCCTATATACCCTCACATATTTCTCCGGAGGTTTGCACTATCCATTTAAACCTCTGGTTACTTAGCTTACAATCAGACTGCAAATTTTATCTGCCAAAACATCGTCTTTAGCTAGGTAACAAATCTACATTTTTTTATCATGGCACCACTTGAGATATTAGAGGAAACTGTCCATCTACTATAAAGTCTAGAACTGATCTCGCTTATTAGCATTATCTGGGCGATAGCTAAACAATGTAACATTGATGCAAATGCAATTTATTAGTCCCTTTCTTTAGTGCTGCAAGCACAACCTGACATTCAACGCAAAACGAGTCATATGATCCTGGCAAAGCAACTACTCCTAATCTAAAACAAATTGGGCTTGACCGGTGCTATCGATCGCGTTCCCTGGTAAAGTAATTGTATTTGGTGTAGATTTTTTTATTCTGTTTGTTTGAACCCTAGTGTACATTTTCGTTGTGTGTCAAATGCAATATGCTGCTAAAACCAATGGGGAAAGGAGCTTTACATCAAAGTGCATTATGTGTGATCCTGTTATTCAGTCTAAAGAATCCAATGCATGCACGATTTTTTTTTTGAAAACCATGATTACCAGTTTTGATCGAAATTGAAGTCGAACTCGTTGAGAAAAAAAGTCTAAACTTGAGCCGGCGAGGATTGGTTAGTACCTTCGCTGGCCAACAGCCAGATCCACCAGTCAGTGTACATGATGGAAATGGAGGGGGGGCTCTTTGCCCTCCTGTAATCTGGGGTGATATACCCCAAGTTAGGTTACAAATATGTTTCTCCATAGTGGATCAACAATGATGCTAGCAGGCAAAGGATGTTGTTAATCCAGAGGATGTTTAGTCTTAGGTCCGCCCCAAGCCACCACAACCACTACCAGTTATCCTATATGCGCTTTGTATGTTATTATCAGTGACTGGCTAGCAGTTGAGTTGCAAGGTCATCATTAACCAGAAGACACTAACGGGCCGGTGCCGCGTCAGTGATAATGCGCTTTGGCCGGTCAGTGTTACGTGATCCTGCAGTACTGCTTGGGCTCCACTGCGGTTTAACATAACTTTATGACTAAACCAACATGGATTTTATTAGCTGGGCTTGTTTCTTCTGGCCTTTTTCACTATTCTGACCCTTTCAACGAACTTTGTTACAAAATGAACTCGACGTGAAAGTATTTCACGATCTGACCTTTTTAGCAACGCCACAGCCCGCGGCGTTTCTGCCCAACATAGAAACGCCGAGGTAGCTAGCGTTTCTGATCAAAGAAGAAATGCCGTGGTAGCTAGCGTTGCGGACCAGGTAAGAAACGCCAAAGGAGCTAGCGTTGCTGCCCATCATTGAAACGCCAATGACCATGGCGTTGCTGCCCTTTTTCATGTGAATGTGGAATGTGGATGAACAACCTAACTAATAAGGCTAATTAATTATGACCAAAGAGGGCAGCAACGCCATGGTTCCTTGGCGTTTCTATGATGGCCAGAAACGCCATCGCCTTTGGCGTTTCTTACCTGGTCCGAAACGCTATCTACCTCGGCGTTTCTTCTTTGATCAGAAACGCTAGTTACCTCGGCGTTTCTATTTTGGGCAGAAACGTCACGGGCTATGGCGTTGCTAAAAAGGTCAGATCGTGAAATACTTTCACGTCGAGTTTATTTTGTGACAAAGTTCGTTCAAAGGGTCAGAATAGTGATTTCGGCCGTTTCTTCTTCTATTGAGCCTTCAAGTAAACATTTTTTTTCTTTTCAGTCACTTTTTCTTAACTAAGGAGTAAACCACCTTTTGGATACGGCAAAAAAAGTGAATGGTCCAAATTAGCATATCAGATGACTGATTGTTAGTCGGTCCCATCGCTAAATCAAGCACAACGTGTCGAATTTGTTGCAACTGCTGCCGGAGGTTTTTGTTTTGTTTGGTCTATGTCTGCAATATGTTCATTTTTTTAATTCGATGAGATGTATTTCGAGGATCTGCAATTTGCTACTCGATGTGTGCTTGGCTATAAACCAATATAGTCCACCCTGCAAGTTGTTGAACCTCGAGATGCCCATGCTCATCATTGGGCCTACATCACGACATCATCAATGGAAAAATATTTGTTTTATTACCCTAAGGAATGTGTGTTTCCGTGCTTGTTTCAGATCCGACTTTCGAGAAATACATTGTGTTTTTTTCACTTGGTCATGGAACTTCTTTAAGCGTATGGGGCATTAACATACCATCTATGACATTTCTGAAACTATAAGAACTAAACTACCATCTATGACATTTAATCCACCCGAGAAACTACAGTACCGCCATTCTACACACAAAAGGAGCCATTTGTACACAAAGTAGAGTGATAGAAGTTTATTAAATATTTCTACTTGGGGAGGTGGGTTTTGGCTTAAGTACCAACAAGGAAAGTGTCATAAACTTAATCTAGTGTATCCATCTAAAGTTTAATCTGTTGTACGTAGTGGTTAGTTTCCATAACATGCTGCATATCTTTAATGAAGGACTTATGTAGCTTTTTTGGTCCTCGAAGGACTATGATAACTTTGCAATAGTGAATGCACGGGCTAGACTTCGAGACACATACATTTTCTTAGTTTGAAGTGCGAGGCAAATGAGTTGTATCTCTGACACTTCTAAATAAACCTAACCAATAGTAGTGATCATGAGTTTTGTACCTTTGTATCACACTTTTCACATGCTTCTGATCCCTAGTTTAGTTTCTTTCATGTTGGGCTCAATATATACTCATATTTCTCCATCAATGTTTGCACTATTCGTTTAGCTCTCTTCTCTGATTTCTTACTTAGAAGTCAGAATCTATTTTTTTATGTACCAAACACCATCTACAGTAAGCTAGCTATTATATCTACAACCTTTTCCTTGTCATTGCACATGTTGAGATAATAGAGGAAACTGGCCATCTTGTATACTCTGATAGGGTCAATGAATTTCGTCTTTAAAAGGGTTTCCAAAACCTTACAACTGAGGATCTTACACTTCATTTAATCTTTCTAAGCATGTCTCTCAAACATGTGAGTATGTTGAGTCTTTTTTTTGCGGGATGTGAGTATGTTGAGTCGACATATGAATTCAAGCATTCTTTTAATTAGTATGGTGTGGTTCCAAGTACTAGATAGAACGAAATACCTCCTGGCTATCAGCACACATTAGCTTAGTTCATGAGAGAATTGCACTTCTACAGTTACTTATATTAATTAAGCCTTACATTGTCCAAGACATATATCAGTTTTAAGATGTTACACGGAGTAGACAACTCCAAAAAATTCAGCCATCATGTCTACGTTTTTTAGATGTGATTTTGTCGATTAAGCTTAGTTTCTGCCTCATAGATGACAACAAAAAAAACCATGAAATGAACTTAGGATTTTTGACTGATCTAGGGACTTGGGGTACCAGAGAGCCAGCCGGGGGGGGGGGGGTGCCCTATCCCATGGCACTCTTTCTACATGAAAATGGCTCCAACATTTTTCCTGTATTGTTTTGGTCTTCAAAAAAACTTCATTGATCCTTGTTTTAGTGCTTTTATGTAGCTTTCCAACAATTT